AAAATATGGTTAAAGGGCCAGGAATATAGCTCAGTAGCACAGCACCTGCCTGGCAAGCATGAGGGCATGAGTTTGATTCCCAGTACCAAAAACATAAATAAAATAAAATATGGTTAAATTAAAAGGCATAATAAATTGGGTGTAGTGGTACATGCTTGTAATCCCAGCACTGGGGAGGCTGAGGCAGGAAGATCACCGTGAGTTTGAGGCCAGCCTGGACTACACAGTGAGTTCAAGGCCAGCCTGAGCTACATAGAGAAACCCTGTCTCAAACAAACAAACAAACAAACAAACAAACAGCTAGCATAATAATAAATAGATAATAGGAAACAGGGAGGTAAATCTTTTGCAAAAAGGAAGGAAACTAAGAGAAAGAGGGAGGAGGAGAAAAGGGGAGAGGGAAGGAATATAAGAGGAATCAAGATGCATTATTTACATCCACCTACTCCGCGGGAGGAACGTCATCACCACGTACTCCAAGCACATACCATGAAGAAGGAAAACAACAAAAAAGAGAAATCAGATAATGTGGAGAGCACCAAGATCAGTAATAAGAGAGCAGCAAAACTCCCAACCCTATACAAAGAAGACCGTAGGGAAGCACTGCGAACCTTTGTCCCGGCAACATGAGCCACTCAGGAAACGGAGAAATTCCTAGAAGAGCACAAATCAGCAAAATTCATTCTGGAAGAAATGGGAAATCTGAATGTACTTATGCCAAGGGAAAACGAAGTATGATTATGAAAAACCTGGGTCCAGATCCTATCACCATGATGTCCACGAAATGTTTAAAGAAGAAATAATATCAGGAGCGCACAGGTTCCTGCAGAAAATAGAGGCGGCGGGAACATCTGCCAACTCATTTGTTTCTACTGCGCTCGGAGTGAGCCCAGGGCCCCGTGCATGCGAGGCGAGCTCTCGACCGCTGGGCTACAGCCCCAGCCCGCTACTTATTCCTTGAGCTCAGTATTACCTCAAAGAAAACAACACAGAAAAAAGTAGAAATATAGACCAATGTCCTTCAGGAAAATAGGTGAAAAACTCTTCAATAAAACATTGGTGAAGTGAACTCAGGATGTACAAAAAGGATTACATACCATGGTTGAGTGAGACTTGTCCCAGAAATGCAAGGCTGGATTAATATCCAAAAATCAATGAATGGAATGAACTGCATTAATACAATGAAGCAATAAAACTCCTTGGTCATCTCTATAGATGCAGAAGCAGCACTTGACAAAATTTAGTGTGCATTCCTAAGTCTCAATAAATTCAGAATAGATGGGGGCTGGGGATTGAGCTCAGCGGCACACGCCTGGCTAAGCGCAAGGTCGTGAGTTCAATTCCTGGTACCGGAAAAAAATTCCCCCCCCCAAATAAATAAATAAATAAATAAATTCAGAATAGGTGGAGACTCCCCCAGGTTGATGAAGAGAGGCTACTTACAGTTACACTGGATGAGAGGAGACTGAATGCTTTCCCCTTCCGGTCAAGAGTGAGGCAAGGAATTTCACTCCTGCCCTCTTGATTCCACACTGCAGGGGCTGGGGTGCACACAGTGGCAGAGAGATTTCCTAGAATGCGCAGGGCTTGGCCTCTATCCCAGCACTGCACACAAAAACACAGAATGGGAACTTCAGATGGTGCAATGAGAGGTTACAAAGGAAGACACCTCTATCGGAAAAGAAGAAGTACTGTCTTTCTCTACCTGATCCTATAAGTAGGAATCCACAAAAATATTATTTCTCTACCTGCTATATTTATCTACCTGATCCTATATGTAGGAAACCCTAAGAATCCACAAAAATATTATTACAATCAATAAAATCAGCAAGGATATAGATATGAAATGGATATATAAAATCAATAGCATTTCTAGCCAGGCATGGTGTCACGTGCCTATAATCCTAGCATTCAGGAGGCTGAGGCAGGAGGATCGCTGTGAGTTCAAGGCCAGCCTGGGCTACACAGTAGATGCGAAAGTTCAAGGCCAGCCTGAACTGCATAGTGAGACCCTATCTCAAAAAACAAAAGCAATAACTTTTCTATATATTGGCAGTGAACAATCTGAAAGGAAGTTAGGAAAGCAATTCTGACCAATATCATCAAAAAGAACAAAATCCACAGGAATAAATTTAATGAAAGAAGTGTAAGACATGTACATGGAGAACTATAAAGCTGCTGTGGGAAATTAAAGAATATCTAAATGAATGGAGACATTTCATGTTCATGGATTAGAAGAATCAATATTGTGAAGATGGCAATTCTCCCCAAATTGATCTATAGAACAAACACAACCTTCATCCAAATCCCAGTGAGCTTTTCACGGAAACTGACAAGTTGATCTTAAAATTTATATGGAAATGGAAGGAATAGCAGAAGCAATTTTGAAAAAAGAACAAAATAGGAGAACATTCATTTCCCAACTCCACAATTTCATAGCTTTGGTAATCTAGACAACCTGACACGGACATAGGATGGGTAGAGATCAATGAAATGGGACTGAGCATCTGGTGATCAGCCCTTGTGTCTGTGATTAGTTGATTTTTGATAAAGGTGCCCAGCCTGCTCAATGAGGAAAGGATCTGTCTTTAAACAGGGTGCGGGGTGGCGGCCCAGACGCCTGCCTGGCAAGCAGAAGGCCTTGAGTTAGATTCCTGGTACAAAAAAAAAAAACAAGGTGCAGGAACAACTGGACAGCCACAGGCAGAAGGCTGAACCTTGATCTTACTTTATACCACACCACGAAATAAACTCAGACTGGACTGTAGCCCTGACAGAGGGCTAAAGCTGTACAAGCTTTTAGGGTATGCACAGCAAAACGTCTTTATAACCGTGCTTGGGTTAGGAAAAGGTGTCTTAGATTCAACATCAAAAGCACACTGTACCAAGGAAAAAAATTTGGTGAATTGGACTTCATCAGAATTAAAATATGTGTTCCCCAAAAGACACCATTAGGAAAATGCAAAGACAAGCCACAGTGTGGGAGAAATTATCTGCGATTTGTATATTTGATCCAGATATCCAAAAAAAAAAAAAAAAAAGCGTTGAATCCAGAATACATAGAGAACTCGACAAACATCCAATTAGAAAAAAAACAGGCAAGAGATTTGAATAGACATTTCACCACAGAAGATAAACAAATGACTAATAAGCACTTGAAGAGCTGCTCAACATCATTAGTCATTAGGGAAATGCAAATTAAAACCACAACGAACCACCACTTCACACACACTAGAGCCGCTATAATTAAAGAGAGACAATTACAAATGTTGGTGAGGGGCTGGAGAAATGGGTTTCCTCACACACGCCTGGTAGAAATATAAAATAGTCCTGCTGCTTTGCAAAATGGTGTGCCATGTTCTGAAAAAGTTAAATGTGGAAACTGGGTCCACGCAGGTAATTCTAGCACTCAGGAGGCTGAGGCAGGAGGATTGTGACTTTGAAGCCAGCCTGGGCCATTTAGCAAGACCTTGTCTTCAGACAAAAATAAATGAAACACGGTAGGAATGTAGCTGGGGTAGAATGCATGTTAGCCTGTGCAAGGTCCTGGGTTCCAACTCCAGGACTGATAAATGTATATAAAGTTAAGTATAAGTTGGCTAAGTGACTCAGCAGTCCTCCTCTCCTGAGAATCTAAGAAAAATGAGAACACAAGTTCACACAAAACTTGCATGTAAATGTTCACAACATTCTAATTTCTAAGAATCAAAAAGTAGAAACAGGGGCTGGGGATTTAGCTCAGCAGCAAAGCGCCGGCCTGGCAAGCGCAAGGTCGTGAGTTCGGTTCCCGGTACCGGAGAAAAACCAAAAAAAAAAAAAAAAAGTAGAAACAGCCCAAAGGTCCATCAGCCGGTAAGCGAAACACCATCTGTCCGTCCAGCAAGCACTATTCATCAAGGAAAGGAAAGAAGCACTGACGAATGCTACCATGTGGCCGAATCTTGTCACCCCAAGGGCCAGAGGAACCTGGGCCCAAGAGACGACACAACAGGGTTCAGCTGATTCAGAAAATCCGAAACAGGTTCCTATGCAGAGACAGAAAGCAGCTCGGTGATCACTGGGGCTGGGCGGAGGCAGGAGGATCGCGATTTTGACACCAACCTGGACAACTTGGTGACTTAACAAGACCCTGTCTTAAAACTAAAAAGTAAATAGATAAAAAGGCTGGGGTTGTAGTACAGGGCCCCAGTCCCAGGGTCAATCCCCAGAACAACAACAAACAGGGGGGGTGGGTGTGGACGAGGCGTGAGGGCCCTGCTCTCCTCAGTGGAAGCGGAGCCGGTTCCTGCTAAGAGGCCTGGGCATGGCCTGGTTCCCAGCTCCGCCTCACCGTGCTCACCCGCCTCTGCGAGAAGGCCCTGCTGGATGCCAGCTCCCGCCCGGAGTGTCCTGGCTCTCTGTCCGGCATCCCCGGCCTGTGGTATGCTGTAGGGCAGCACAGCACAGGGTGAGACTGCTGGGGCCGCCCCGCCCTGCCCTTCCCCACGCGTGCTCTCCTTGTGCCCGGCCTCTCCGGAGCCAGCCTGTCAGCCGCCTTCTCCACCCGATCTCCCACCCTTTCCCTCCTGGGGCCGGACAGCCTGAAATCCCTTCCTCTCCCATCTCGGTGGAGACAGGGCGCCCAGCCACGGCTCTGCCGGGGCAGCTTGTCCCGGGGGCCACGGATCAGCAGGACATAGCTTACCAAGAAAGGCTGTGTTGGCTTCCACCTGTGTCATGCCCTTGGGACTCTTGATTAGAGGCCCAGAGACGTCCCAGGAAACGTGGCTACTCTGAGCGTCTTTGTCGGACACACCCCGTGGCGAGGGCAGAGAGAGAAGGGCAAGGGGCACGGCTGTCCCTGCCGCCCCCCGCCAGCGGCCGCAGGGCCACACGTGAGTGAGGAGCCCAGGCCACCCCGCACAGCGCTGCCTAGGCCGAGAATCCAAGCTGTCTCTGTGCTCTGTGATATCATAATCAAGTCGTAGGCCCGATCCTCTGCTTTGTCTGCCCTCCAGCTGTGGGAGATGAGAGACTTCAATGCATAGAAGGCTAAGGAGACTCTCTGGTGATCTTAATTAGCCTTTAATTGGTGATTAACCACCCTCAGCCTTTGATCGTCTGCCGCCAAAGCCGCGGTCGCCCACAGCAACAGCAAGCAGCAGCACAGCCCACCTGAGGAGGATTTCCTCCTTCTCTGCAGATACCCGATCCGCCGGCCTCCTGCGTCCTCTCCTGCCGGTCCCGCGCGCACGGAGCCAGGGACGGAGGCCCGACTGCCGGCCGTCTGGTGGCTGCGCCAGATCCCACTTCAGAGACTCCTGACCACCCGGACTGCGCGCTGCAGGTTGGGTTCTCCAGTTGGAGAAGGAAGGGGAGGGTCCCTGAGAGCTGCTATGGGGCAGAGCTGGCCGCAGGGACAGAGGCTGAGCTGCAGCGCAGTCACACAGGCCTCAGCCACCGAGGGGTGCTGGGACAAGGTGCCCCTTAGGAGCTGTCAGGCGCTGAGGAGAGGCGTGAGTCTGTCACCCATGCCTACTGCTGTTGCATGAGGGATGCCCCTGCGAGCAGCTGTCAGCTTGGGTGGGGCTGGGGCTCCTGTGGGTGAGGACCCCCCACAGGGGTCAGCTGAGCGCTTTTAGCCCACAACCACCTGCAGGTAGGAAATGGGTGGCGGGAGAGGCTGCCGCCCCCACCACACTGCCGTACACTTCCTCTATACGTTTGAAATGGAGCGCAACTCTAAACCCGAAGCTGAGCATGGTGGCAATGTGTAAAATCCCAGCACTCGGGAGGCTGAGGCAGGAGGATCACCTTGCCTGAGGCCAGCCTGGGCTACACAGTGAGTTCAAGGCCAGCATGAATGACATAGTGAGACTCTATCTCCAGAAACAAAACAGAACAACAGCGACAAACCCAAGCTTGGCTCAGACCTGAAAGACACCTGGGTAACTTCCTAGAAATCCTGCAAGGGAATGCCCAGCACCTGGGTGATCATTTCCTGGATTTCGTATGCCATGTTCTGAAAGGTGGGAGTCCGCCGCACAAAAGGCAGAGGCTTCGTTTTCATGCTGGGAAAATAAATTCTCCAAGTCCCACAGTCAGATGTACCTGAACAGAGAGAAACAGGAGCGCTCTTTTTAAAAATAGCACCGTACACGCTGTGTTCCTCAAGCTCCGCATCCATTCATTTATGAGCAAATAAATGCAAGCACCCACAGGGCACCAGGCCCTGGAGCGCAGCGGAAGTGCGTGCCGAGCAGAGCGGCTTTGACAACCTGGCATCCTTGGACTCTGTACGTGCAGGTCCCTAAGTCCTCTTTCTCCCTCCGCTGGGTCGAGCCGGCCTTCTGGAGGAGCCCGCACCGCGGCCTGCGGCAGATCCCGGCTGCGGGTGTCCCGCACGGCACACACATCCCGGAGTATCAAGCACTCTCAGGCCCTGGCTCCTGCCCCCTCACACTGGGGCTGTGGGACACCCTTCCTCTGCTTGTGTAGACGAGGACACAGGCTTCAGGAGTTTAAGCGAGATTTTTAAAAATATGATGGAACTTAATTTTTAAAAAAAGAAAGAAAATAGATTGAAGATACAAAAAAGTATGACGGTGGGAAAGGGTGTCGAAAGCTGAAAACCTCGACTCACAGGGACCTTTGTTGCCCCTGATGGTGAGGCGGTGCTGTCCCTGCACAGCCAGGTCCTCACGCTGGGTGCTGCCCGTGTCCGGAGACGCCCCGCACGGCCCCGGGTGCCCCTCGCGGGCAGAGCGGTTGTCCACCCTCTGGAGCCTGGACCCAGGATGGGGCTGCACAGAACAGGCGTGCCCAACGGTCCCTCTGACCGGGCTCAGTCCTGTTCCCATGGGGCTGGGGTGCAGCTGGGGGTGGTCACCAGGGCAGGGAGGAAGGCCAGAGGCTGCGGGCTGGCGGGCAGCTTCGATGCCAGGGTGGGAGCCCCGGCTGAGACCGGAGCCTGGCCTCCACGAACTGCGAGAGCAGAGGGGTGGGACCGGGCCACGCGCTCACCCTCCGGACCCGGGCCCTCCCTCCTTTGGTAGACGGGGTGGCCACTTCTGCCTGCTGGGACGCGGGCGGGCCAGATACGCAGGACTTGATGGCCCCAGCGCGCCCCGGCCCCCAGCGGGACACCTGGGACTCATTCCGTGCTGCGCCCTGGGGTCCCCATGGGCGGAGCCCCAGCTGTCCGCTGGGGAACTGCTTGGGGAGGCTACAACGCGGGCTAAACTTCAGTCACTTGTAGGGAATGGATGCACCGCGAGACCGTCACTCTAAGTGAAACAAATCAGACCCAGAAGATTAAACATTGCATGGTTTTTCTTATATGAGAAACCCAAAGTGTAAATAAATCAAAGCAAAATAAAAGACAGGTAATAGGAAAGAGAGAGATAGATCTTTTGCAAATGAGAAAGGGACCGGGAGACGAAGGGGGAGGGGACGTGGGCGGAATTAAAATGCGCTGCGCGCAGGCACCAGCTCCCCACGGTGCTTGCAATCACTGTGTGCCGCAGACATGAACTAACAGAAATCACAAGTGGAAGGCTCCCTGTTCCGGCTCCCTCCTCCCTCCCCTGCTCCCCACTGCCCACAGGAGCTTCCTCCAGCTTTTCCTGAGTAAACTAGCTGCGCCGCAGGCTGTGAGAGGCGAGGTGGGGCTCCCTGCCCCTTGGTCTGCCCTGTGGGCACCCTGTCCTGTGTGCTGACAGCCTGCCTGAGGCAGAGTGGCTGAGCGGAGCCGCCCCTAGGCCAGGACTCACCCTCGGAGACAGCCTCCCACTTCCGGTCCAGCCCTGGGTCACGAGGCCTCCCAGCTTCAAGTTCCCAGGATTCCTGGGTCCCAGGGGTAACCACACCAGACTGGGGGCCCAGCTCTTGGGCCTCTCACACTGACCGACCCCTGGGGGTGCGTTCTTTGGTCAGCAGGACCCCTGGCACTGGGCTTGCACTCCAGGGACACAGTGAAGAGGTCAATTTCCAGAAGGAAAAAGAAAGGGGGTAGGGCGGAGCAGTGGCACTTACCTGCGATCCCAGCTCCCTAGGAGGCTGAGGCAGGAGAATGGCAAGTTCAAGGTCAGCCTGGACAATTTAGCAAGATCTTATTTCATAGCCAAGAATAAGAGGAGTTTGGGGTGCAGCTTAGCGGAAAGAGGGCCTCTGGGGTTCCATCCTCAGCCTCACAAAAAGGAAGAAAGGAGGAAAGGAAGGGAGGGAGGAGGGAGGAAGGGAGCAGGGAGGAAGGGAGGGGAGCCAAGCGTGCGAGGCCAGCCGTGTCTGCTGCAGCCCCTTCTGCCGTGGACATTTCCCCCTCGCTGTCTTGCTGAGCGGCGTACTCTGCAGATGGGTACCCAGCACGGAGCGGGGGCACAGAACTCACAGTGTGGTGGTGGCCGCCGTCTCTCTGGGACAGACGCGCGGCCTGTGGCCGCCACCCTTCCTGGACCTGAGTGCTGGAGCCCGGATTTCCCGACGGTCAGACAGACACCGACAGGAGAAAGAAAATCCCTGCTCCGGCCCAGAGCCACAGCGGCGCTCCGCGCCTGGAGCCTCCACTCTCTCCCCTTCCGGCTCACGGTTGTTGTTTTGTTTTTGCAAAGAACAGGGACATTACAATACCTAGAGCTGACAACAGCAAGAAGCTGTAACACACAGGCAGGTGTGAGCGCACACACACACACACACACACACACACACACACACACACGATGGGCCAAAGGAACACACTACAATGTGCCTGAGAAAAGGGAGCAAAGTCCAAAGCCACAGACCAGAGCCACCCAGGATGGACAGCAGAGCCCGGCGGCCGGCCTCCGAGGCCACGTGGACACCCACTGGTGCATGGTGGTGCTACTGTCCAGGTGCTTCTACCCGCCCTTCCACCTGCCCCCCACAGAGCTTCTGGGCGTAAAGCCAGGCCGTCCTCGAGACGCCTCACTGCGCAGGGCATCAAGGAGCCAGGTCGTGCTCGGTGTGGGCGCCCTGCATTCACGCACTGGCATGGCAGGGCCGCAGCCCCGCCCCACGCTGGGGAGCCAGCCTGGGCTCCTCGCCTCCCTCCTGCTTCTGCTCTGCGTCTCTGGGGGCCCAGTTCTTGGGCCTCCCACATTGACCGACCCCTGGGGGTGCATTCTACCCCTGGCACTGGGCCCGGGCCCTGCCTTGCACCCCGGGGCAGGCTCCTGAGGTGGGCCGTTCGTCCCCTCGGGGCTACCCACAGTGGACCTGGGGAAGAAGGAAGGTGTCCGCTGCCGCCAGGTCCTCTCAGCACACCTGTCACCATCCTGCCCACAGCTGTGCCCTCTGCCGCCCTGCCCACACCTTCCCGAACTGTCCCTCGAGCGTGGGACCCCTGATGCGCAGCTGCCTCCCGGGGACCCTGTGCCGAGGTGGCGTGTGCGGGAGAGGGGTTACGCCGGCTGCTGTGTGTGGGGAGCGGGCAGGGCAGCCCTGAGCGGGGTGCCAGGGTGTCTGGATGATCTCCCTGTAGGTCAGGGCCCGTGCCAGGCCCCCCTGGCCGGACAGACCGCCGAGCAGGCCCTGAGCCAGCTGGCCCTTCCTTGCAGACTGCCCGTTTCCCCCACAAAGGCCCTGGGGTCAGGTTCACCTTCCAAACTGTGCGCCCCATCCCTGGCCGGCCGCGCTGGCCCGATTCAGGGCCCCGCTGCAGAGCCAACTGGGCCCACTTAGGCAGGCAGGCGTGGGGGGCTGGGGGCGCCCTTTGGCTCCTCGGCCTCCGCAGGAGGGCAGCGTGCTCGGCTGGGCCGGGACCCAGCGCTGCCCTGGGCTCCCTGACCCTCTCTCTTCTTTTGCAGGCCGCCTCCTCGGAGAGGAGCCCAGCACTGTCCCGGAACCCCCCACGCCTGCTTCTGGGGCCCGCAAGGACCTCTCGGGCCCCAGGTCTGTGCCGTGCTGCCCACCGGCAGCCGGCACCCCCAGAGGTGACAGGGCTGTGACACCCCCCCCACGGCCTCCGGAGCCCCTTCTGCCCTCTCTGGAGCCCCATCTCCCCTCTCTGGCCTGAGGGAGCTGCTGGTGGCTCTCAGCCCAGGAACCCTGAGGACAGTGGTGTCCAGAGGGAGGACACGTGTGGGGCAGACCCCCCTGGCAGATGGTTGCAGGTGAAGGGACTTACAGCCGGCCGAGGTAAAGATGGCACGCCGCCTCCTCCTCCCTCCCGCAGGCTTCAGCGTCTGTCCCCACCCGGGAACCGCAGCCGGGGTCCCTGAGGGCTCCCTCACCCGCCCGTCCCCACCTGGGCTTTCCTACACCCTGGCTGCCGTCGAAGCCTTGGCCTCCTGGAGGCGGCACGGCCCCGGGGACCCCGTGTGCTGTGCGTCGCCTGGGTGCAGAGTGCTGGCCAGGAGCAGCTGTGCCCCTGGGGGACATGGGCAACGCCTGGAGACCTTTTTAAAATTTACTTTTCGGAGCTCACTAATATTCTTCTTATTAAGCGTCTTTCTAATGATAAAACCCCACATAATGAATTTTAGAAAATCCAGGCAAATACAAGGCAAATTATAATACTAATAATTCCGCTACTCCAAGATAAGCACTACTGACAAGTTAGCACGTTTCCTTTCTTTCCCCTGCGCCAGGGCGGGACCCAGTGCTTCTTGTGCGGTGGGCAGGTGCTCTACTGCTGAGTTATACCCCCGGCCTCCCAAGTGTAGTTTTGTATTTTTGCTATAATATTATGTATGATTTTATTTTTAATTTTTTAATTCTTTGAGACAGAGTCTCACTCTGTAATCCAGGCTGGCCTCAACTCACAGTGATCCTCTTGCCTCAGCCTCCGAAGGGCCAGGATTGCAAGATGTGTGCCATGATGCCTGGGTCTATGCACACTTTTTTTTTTTTTTTGTCCTTTTGAGACAGGGTCTCACTATATAGTTCAGGCGGGTCTTGAACTCATTTATGTAGCCCAGGCTGGCCTCGAACTTGCAGAGATCCTCCTGCCTCAGCCTCTGAGTGCTGGGATTACAGTGAGCCACCACGCCTGCCTGTGCACACTTTTATTTCTTTTTTTGTTTGTTTTTAAATAAAAGAAGGACAACATATTAACAGACAGACATCCATTTACAAAATAGCATAAGAACAATACAAACAAAACAGAGCTACAGACAAAGTGGTAGGAAATTAACCATGGTTGTTGTATTACTTATCGATGTCTTCAAAGTGGTTTCTCAGGAAAACAAAGACATACAAGATTGATCAAACAAGTAATCATTAACTGTTCCTTTCTGTAGAGCAATAGAAGACAGTAGTACGACTATGTTAGCTGTCCTGTGTAAACATACTTGCATAATTTCCTCTTCTTCCACTTTTCTTTTCCCACACCCCAGTTGCCCTTTACTTTTGAGCATTTTCCTTTTGTTTCACAGTGTCTATCATACCTCCTATGAGTTTTTATTCACTCTTTCAGGTCTTACACTAGTGAGACACTACGATGCTTATACATGCAGGTCTGATTTATTTCACTTAGTATGGTCTCTAGTTGTGACCATTTACCTATAAAAGCCTCAAGTTTATCTTTCTTTATAGCTGAGTAATATTCCATTATATAAAAGTACCACAATTTTTTTATCCAATCCTCATGGATTGAATGATATTCCATTATATAAAAGTACCACACCTGACATTCCATTATTTAAAAGTACCACAATTTCTTTTATCCAGTACTCAGTGGATGGACATTTGGGTTGCTTCCACGTCTTAGCAATTACAAATTGCGCTGCTATAAACACGGGTGCACGTATATCGCTGGGATATGATGTTTTCAGATCTTCTGAGAAAATACCCAGCAGGGGGATAGCTGGGTTGAAGGGGACCTCGAAACCTACTTTTATGCACACATTTATATTCCGTTTTTAGCCTAATATGACATCGTAGGGATTTGCTACGTGAGAGCTTATGCAGTTTTACACTTTGGGTTTTCTTTTTCACTTGACGACCCTAAGCATTCCTCACTGACATCATTTAGCAGATATGTAAAAATGCGGCCCGTCCTGGCTGTTTAGGTGCCGTCCACCTCGGGGCAGTTGAGGAGCTCCCAGCGTGCGAAGGGGCAGGCCAAGGACGCGGCTGCAGGTCCTGCGGTGCACCCGGCACCCACCACGAAGAGCCGCGCAGGCCGAGCGGGGACGCACGGGCTCGGTGAGCTCCGGCGTGGCGGCCCTGGCCCGGGCTGTGCGGGGCCTGTCTGGGGCTTTCCTGTGCCTAGAGCCCTTTCCCCGCCCGTCCACCACTCGCTGCTGCGCTGGAGCCGCGTGTTGTGAGGGCACTGCCCCGCCCGCCTGTGCACCTCCCCAGCCCTCTCTGGACTCAATTTCTCGTCCCATAAAGGCGGGGGGTGCCTGGGGTGAAGGCCCTGCCGCTAGGCCCCTGGCAGTTCCGTGCCCAGCCTGGGCTCACAGGTCCGGCCAGGGCAGGCTGGAATGAGCCCTGCAGCCCTAGCTGCCTTACTGAAAACTCCAAGGGGCGATGGCGCCAGGAGCGCTGACCTGCCGGCAGGCCCTGCTCCCAAAGGTGCCCTCCGTACACCAAGGCTACTTCCGGGGCCGGCAGGTCCTGGGAGAGGGTGTGGGGCCCCTGCCGACCCGGTTCCAGCCACGGGCTGGGCCGGTGTGCCACCCTTCCTGTCCTGCCATCCAGCGGAAGCAGCAGGAAGCTCCCCAGTTAGGGGCAGGGTGGAGGGAGCTGGGGTGCCCCCCAGACAGCCCCTAGGGCTCAGAGCTGGGGTGAGAGGGCCAAGGGGGTCCAAGGAAGAGGTTATTTCTTCTTTCATATTTTGAGACAAGGTCTCGATATGTAGTTCAGGCTGGCCTTGAACTCACAGTGATCCTCCTGCCTCAGCTTCCCTAGTGCTAGATTATGAGTGGGCACCACAATGCCTGGCTTGCTCCCCAGCTTCTGTTGGGGGTCAGCAGGAGGGAGCCCGATTCCCAGCCTCGGATGGCTCTGTGGGGAGGTGAAGGGAGGGCATGTTCTTGCGGAGGGAACCGCGCTGGGACATCCCCGCCCCAGGACAGCTCCTCTCGAGGGCTCCTGCA